TGGGTTAAATTTGAGTTAGTATGGTCTGATAGATCGTGTTGGTCATTATCCTGAAATACAGATTTATACACTGGGGAATTTGTTCCTCAGATACCACTAAAATGGTCCAAATTTAAAATTTAACCAAGTGCTCCTCATAGTAAGTTGAGACTGATGGCTGTGGTATAAAGCTTAATTGGTCATTACTCAAGATATAGTTGTTATATAGTTGATTCTATACAGAATAAATGTCTTCTCACAGCTACTTGATACTAGGCAAGGGACTTTTAGCTTTCTTCTTTTTTATAATAGGCTGTTGTTTTTCATTTGAATCTAATTTAGTATACCGTGATTCATGGTTAAACTGCAGAAATTTAAAATAAAAATTTTGATTAAAATTATTTTGGGAGTTAATTTTAAATTCCTAATGTAGGAGGTGAATTGAGATGTAGCTCAATGGTAGAGCATGTGACTGGCACATGTAAGACTCTGGGTTCAGTCTCTAGCACCACCAAAAAATAAATTAAAAAGACTCTTATATTGGGCCGGGATTTAGTTCAGTGGTTCCACTGCCTGCCTGGCAAGGGCCTGAGTTCAATCCCTAGTACTAAAACAAACAAAAAAAAACCTCTCATATTATAATCCTAAATACTTTCTCTTTGATCCTGGATCTTGGCAAAGATAACCCTGTCTCCATCTTCCTTGTTTTAAGAAACAGAATAGCTATTGAGTCTCAGAAATTATCCAAAAATATGATCTCAGCCAATTAACAACTGTCGCACTATTGAAACAGGCAATTTTTTTCTCCTCCATGCATTTGTTTATCAAATATTAGTTTAACATTTATAGTCCTGATAACCTAAGAAATTCCACATGACTAAATGTTGCAATAAGGTTCCCAAATGGTTTGAATTTTACGTAGAAAAATGTCTGCCTCCCCTTTGGTTCACTTAGAACCATCTCCAAGACTATGTGATCATGGATTAGAGTTTGTTTCCTAAGTTTGCCATGCTAAGTAATGTAAAGAATCACCAAAGCTACCCAAATTTATAACCCATCACAACCTGGATTTGCTATTTGCCCACTTCACAATATGTAGCTATGAAGCCCTGAGCTAGAAGTACCCACTTGAGGTGCATTTACCTGAATACCAAGAGATAGAGCAAAGGAACAACGTTGCTATGAAATCCAAACTCCTGGAGAAGTCTTCTTGCATTTAAAATGTAAGAAACTACAAGATAACTTTGCTCTCACCCTACCAAAGAAAATACTGGATAATTCACAACTCTTTGAAACCCTCAGAAAGCATCCAGAGTGGCAAGCCCCTACAAGACACAGACTGTTTTGCTTTAGTAAAATGCCTGCAGGCACAGTTATCATTAACAGTAAGGAAAAAGAAAAAACTAAAATTAACAAATTCTTAAAGTGAGCTAGCGTGCCATTTTGGAATATGTGGGATCCTCACCCTAGAGGAGTCCTCTATCACCATTCTCTTTTCACTAACTGGGTGCTTGTGAGAGAAACTGAGAAAAGAGTCTTCCTCCACAGTGCAGAAGGCATAAACCCTGCCTTTTCCCGAGACCTTTGCTTCTTTTTTTCTTTTTTAAAAAAATAAATTTTGCTGAGCATGGTGGTACACTCCTGTAATCCCAGCACTTGGGAGGTCAAGGCCAACCTGACTAGGCTAATAATAAGTTCAAGACTAGTCCGAACTACAAAGCAAGACCCTGACTCAAAAAATTTTATTTAATTAATTTTGACACATAAAAATTAGATATATCATGTACCACATGGTGCTTTAAAATATGTATACCTTGTGGAATAGAATTACTTCTCATTCACTTAAATTCAACTTTTGGCAGTCTTCAACAATATATAATAATTATTATTCATTATGGTCACCATGTTACACAGTCCCGCACCCTTCTTTTGTACAAGCAAAATGCTCAAGCCACTAGAGGAGCTGTAAATCCTTCTGTCCTCCCATCCCTCTTGTTCTTGTGTGTGTGTGTGTGTGTGTGTGTGTGTGTTGGGGGGGTTGTTTTTGGGGGGATTTTGTTTTTGTTTTCTTGGTCTAGGCAGATAGTCTAGTTTTGAACAAGAGTAAAAGCAAAACCTGCCTCTGGGGAGAAACGCAAAACCTATGGGCTCAGGACCAACCACTCATATAAAGCAGAGGACACTTAACCTCACACACACACACATGCATCAGTGTCTGCCTTGCAAGCACAAGGGCCCGAGTTCAATCCCTGATACAAAAAAAAAGAACACACACATATGCACGCACACACAAAAGTAGTTGGACTGACATTTGAGGAGTGGAGAAACTCTGAGAAAGCACCACTCCTGAGGGCCTGCCTAAGAACAACCCAAAAAGAAAAAGAACATCTCATCTCCATCATAAGCCTAACCCTGAATAATAATCAATATTATTCTATTGATCAAGGAGAGGCCATTACATAGAAATTCTCTGTGTGAATCAGATATGCACTGCTCAAAGCTGACAGTGAAAGAAGAATACTTTAAAAACCTGGCATCCTATACCCCATACGAAGTTTTTCTCAAAAAAAGAAAAAGAAACCTGGGTAGCCAGCCCTATTAAAGGGATTGGATCTATGGATTAAAACTTTCCCCTACTATTTCCAGGTCCTGATTGCTTCACTAGCGAATTCTTCTACTTATAGAATAAATAACATGTATACACATAAACTCTTCCAGATAACAGAAGAGAAATAAACACTTCCCAATTCATCTTGTAAGTCCAGCAACTCTCATACCTCTCATATGGTGCTCTCATACCAAACTAGTCAAAACGCTTATTTCTATCCCTTACAAACATAGATGAAAAATGCTTGGTAAGATGTTAGCAAATAAAATGCAGATATATACATACAAAACATAATAAATCATGATCAGATATGTTTATCCTAGGAATGCAAGATTGGTTTGGCAATTATAAATCATTGTATTATACCATATCAGCCAATCAGCAAGAAAAACAAAGCCTACAACCCTCTCAGTAGAGGTAGAAAAGTTGTTTTCAAAATCCAAACCTCCCTTCATGATTAAAATAATACAACAAAATAGGAATAACATTTGCTAGCCTGAGAAAATCAACAGCTAGCATCGTAGAGTGTGGAAAGGCTAAACACTTCTCAGTTCCCACCCTCCTCTCTGCCTTTGTGTGTGTCTCTGCCACAGTACTTATTCATTCTTATGTACCAGAGTTGACTGCTTCTATATTTATCATAGGACAGGCATGATGTGCACTCAATAAAATGGCCATGGAGTCAAACTCCTTACCTTTTTGCTTTTTGCATCATTCCTTTTTTAAAAATTTGTGATTGCAAAAAAACTTTATGATGTATATAAAATGTATATGAATAATTAAGATATAGTTTTTAAAATATGTACTGAAAACTTTGCTTAAGAAATGGAAAATCACCAGTGTTTCAAGCCCCTGGTATACCTCTCCATTCATATGGCCCTCGCACCTCACAGAGAATAACACTATCCCCAATTTATATTAATTATTTTCTATATAGTTTTCATTATATATTTGTATGCCTGTGCAACAGTATTTAGTTTTGTCTGTATTGAAATTTTTTGTTAAATATAATTCTACCAAATACTTTTTCTGACTTATTTTTTTCTTCAACACTGTTTTGAAGATGAACTATGTTGTGTGCACCTGTAGTTCATTAGTTTTCAACATTGTGTGGAATAAAATACAAAAAAAAACAGTATTTTATTTTTACATGTTACTATTAGTGAGCATTTAGGTTGTTTAAGATTGACATCTCTTAGGAATAGTGCTGCTGTATCCATTCTTTAAAAAAATCTCCTGGGGAACATGTGCAAAATTTTCTGTGGAATACATAAGTAGAAGTAGAGTTCTGGGTTGGAGGTACAAATATGTTTAATAGGTTTAACCTGTTATGCCAAATTGTTATCCAGGGTAGCTAACCCAGGGTATATGTTAAAAAGTCTAAAGAGAAGTTACCCTTGTTCTGGTCCTCTTCAATGTTTTTAGTTTTTACAAATCTAGTAAGTATGAAATGGTATCTCTTGGTTTTAATTTTTATTTCTCTATGTGATTGCTTATATTTTCATGTTTATTGCCATTTATGTTTCATCTTGATTAAATGCCTATATTTGCCTTTATCCCAGTTGTCCAAACCTCATCTAATTATTAAATCTGTGATGCCAGTTTTGCCATAAATCAAGTTGCCCTATATATGCAAAACAGATAGCTCTTTGTTGGTCTGTTTGTATATTGTGGGGCTAAACCCTGCTACATGGTATCTTTATAATAAGTCTAAAGTCTATAGGCCTCTCCTACCCATGATTTGGACTTATCTGAGACACCCACTGATATCAATGTTTATTAAATTCTATAGAGGGATGGTTTAATTACCAGGTTTTTTTTCTTTTTTACATTTACAACTTATTTATTCATTTATTTACTCACCTACTTATTACAGTACCAAGGATTGAATCCAGGGCCTTCCCACTGAGCAACATGCCTTTTATTTTAAGACAAGATCACATTAAGTTGCTATATTGCCCAGACTGGGCTCAATTTACAAATTTTAAAGGTCAGTTAGGTTATACTTATACCTCTGCCCAAAGACAAAGCATAATGTTTTCTTTGACATTAAAAATACTTTTAGTTTTTTAATGTGGTCTGCACACCTATCATCACTCTGAAATATAGATGAAAGTAAAATAGATACTGTATTTTTTGTTCTTTGCCTTCACTCTAAAAGAATAGGGTCAAAGAGCAAAAAATGTGTTTGTGTGTCTGTTTCTAGGCAACCAGAAAGGTAAATTTGATTTTCTGGATTTGAAAACCCAGCATCGTGCACGATTTTCATTACAAAGCTTAATCATCCTTCAGCCACTGTAAAATTCCTCACTGTTCTGAATTCCTCAGTACTTGCCTTTCTTACTAAAGTGGAGTAGTTAGTGTCTTAGTCTCATAGTAAACTTGTTTTCATATGAGTCAATTTTCCTTTCAGCCGCTGCCTGTGAGTTTTTGGATATTGTGGAGCTGCTGCTCCAGTCTGGTGCTGACCCAGCTCTCCGAGACCAAGATGGCTGCATGCCAGAAGAGGTGACAGGCTGCAAAGCAGTTTCTCTGGTGCTACAGCAGCACATGGCTACCAAGGCTTAATCAAAAGCCTGGAAAACCAGTCTAATATAGGTTAGGGCTTCAAGGATGAAAGAAAACTGAAGAAATAATCCTTCTTTCACCACTCATCTTTGGTATGCATTGGCTAATAAAATCAGTTCTGAGGAGCTGGGATTTTGAAGTGTCAGCAATTCATTCTACATGCATACATTCTGAGAAGTACAGTTTTGGTGATGAACATGTATACTGTGCATAATATAATCCAATTCTGCCAAGCATGCTCTGAAATTTATCACTGTTCTAGACGGTGGGGAAAGGAGAAGACAGATCATATTTCACAATATTAAACATGGCTCTCTTTTAGAAAACACAAAGAAGAAAATGTGCCCAACTGCACTGCCCTAACTGAGAAAGTTTCATGCAACCCTAACCACACAGATCAAATGATCTTGTAGCATTTTCTAGGAAGCTAAAATGTTTATTCTTTTCGCAGACAAAATTGGGAAGGAGAGAAGGAAGAAAGGTCCTAAGAAAAAGAAAACAAAAGAGAAAATGCAGAATTTTGTCAGATTAGGGTATCAAAGCATGGCAACAACCAAAGTTACTAGAAACCTAAAAACCTTGAGCATTTTAGGTTAATATTCAGTAACTTTATTTTAAAACTGAAATAATTCTGGAGAATTCACCAGTTAGGTCAAGATTCCTGAAATTTGCCTTTACAAAATGAGAGAGGAATTTTGTAGTATACAGCTCTAGTCTCTGTGAACAAAGCTCAGGCCTGAATTTCCAGGCTTGTCTAGGTTTACCTAATAGTTAACGCTGAAGAATTTATATAGAAGAGCTTCAGCTTTGTATTTAAAATGTAGGCAAATATGGTACAGTTTCTGTTGCACACTTGTCTGTCTTTAAATAGAAACTGATGTGCCTCTGGAAAAAGGCTTCCTCTATTTTCCCCTTTAAGCCTCAAGGACTCCATCTGAAGAATTCATTGAGATTCTTGCAAGAAAAATAGTTGTCCTAGGAGAGGTGAAATAAAATGAGTTAAGATACACACATAACTATTTAAATTTTTTTCTAACAAGTGTTACTGTTGAGATAGCCCTCAACAGTGGACCAAATTTTCATTAGCTTGAGTTAACCTGTCCTTCTAGAACAAACCCCCATAACAGAAATGAGGCATATTAACTTTGCTTGTTTTGTGACTTTTCTATCCTAACTTCTTGCTTTCTGAGATGAAACCAAAACTACTCACCAAGACTATTCAATTTTTAAATAACTTGTAATCTGTTTATGGAAGTGATATGCATGTTAGCACATACTGAAATGTAATTCTAATAGAACATTCTCTATGTCTGTTCTTTTGCCACAATCCCAGCAAAACTGCACCTTACTATTTAGGTAAACTCATTCATGTTCCACATTAATCAAATGGTTCAAGAAACTATGCATTAATTACAGTAAAAATGACCAACATGTTACATGCAGTTTATTTTTTGTTTTTCAATGCCAGGAATTGAACCCAGGGCTTGATGCCTGCTACACAAGTGTTATATCACTGAGCTACATCCCCTGCCCTTTTTATTTTGTGACAAGTTCTCACTAAGTTGCCTAGCCTGGCCTTGAGCTTGTGATTGTTCTGCCTCAGCCTCCCAAGCTTGGATTATGGGCACAGACCACCACATCCACCTATGTGCAGTTTTTATTATTATTATTTTGTGCATTTTAAGACATTAATCAAAAAGATTCACTTCAAATGTACAGAGTAGTTATCTGGGCAAGAATCTATGCAGGAACTCTTTATTTTTTCATCCTTTTTCAATTTGACCTTGATATTTCTTAGGAAAGTTCTTTATTTCCTGTTTTACCACATTTAAAACTAATAGGATATATTAAACAAAGATTATAGCTTGGTTTTTTACTCATTTTATTTTAAAGGTTTCAATTTTACATTCAAGGCTATGACTAAAAAACATCAATTTAACATTTACAAGTGCATTCTAAGTCAGTTTCCAAAATCTCTGTTATCTTGTCACCAGGATCTGAATTTTCAAAAACCTTTCTATCTCATAATATACTATAGATTATCTCTTGTGCTTTATGAGGATTTTATCCATAAATGTCAGGGAACATTAAATCTTTGAATTATTGATTTATTATGCTAGTATCTTATGTCAGCCAGATCCTGAGTTCATTGACAAAAGATGGGATACATCTCACTACCAATGATACATTTCCTGAAACAGAAAGCCAGCTAGCTGATGACATATGGGGCACCGTGTTTTCATATAGTTGAGCAGGATAGAACCAGTTGATACCTTAAATAGAGTAAGTTTGATGTTGTTGTTGTATAAGTCCTGGACAGATTAGTAATGTTCAAGCCAATTTGTATCAGAAAATTTCATAGAAAACTTTTCTGAAGGGGTTAATTTTTTGCTTAAAGACCATCCAGAACTTTATGTATCAGCATTTTTATCTTTTAATGTTTACTGGTTGGAATTTAATTTCCTTGGCTCAAACTCTTAATTTGATATTTTCAGTACATATGAACATTTTAAACATTGAGTTGCTTATCTAATCTCTTATTAGAAACTGGTTGGTGAGAGGACTCAAAGTGATGGGTAACTGAAGACATATGTGCCACATTTGATAGCGTTTTCTAAACTGCAAACATAGAGACTTACTACTCTTATTTTCAGTTCTCTTCCTTTTATTGTCTTGTGCTGATTGCTACCTATATAGATACGTCTACACATAAGAATGTATTTAGCCCCATTTTCCCATGCCCTTAAAAAAAAGCAGATTATAACTTTTCTTTGTCTTCATTTTCTTTCCTGAAGATACTGTGATCAGAATACACTGATGTCTAATATTTATTCATGATAGCCATTACTTTTCTCTCTACATACTGATCGAAGAGGTAAGGATTGCTTTCATAGTAGTACTGTTGCACACAATAGTGAAAAGAAAATTCATGTAAATAAATATCAAAGAAAAGGCAGAGTATCCGACTCTTATCTTCAGAACCCTTGCTTGAGTTTAACTTTTTTTTCTCTCTTTGGAGTGTAGGGATAGAAACCCAGGCCTTGTGTGCATTAGACAAGCACTCTGCTGTTAAGCTATACCCGGAGGCCTACTTGTGTCTAACTTGCTGTTCTTAATTAAGCAAGTTCCAGATCACTTGGAAAAGTTACGAACTCTTTCCTCCACAGCAGTGCTGTATCTGAAATTTTGAAGAGTTCACAGGTCTCCTGAAGCCACGGACACCATGGGGAATCTGTGGATCTCATTCAGAGCCTTTTTTCCTGCACTTTGTCACAGCATTTTAAGAATGAGGAACCTTTTGCTGACTTATACAATTCTTACAGTTTTAAGATAATATATGTGGCGCTGCCATGCCTACTTGAAGGAATGGGACACACTTTTTTTTTCAAACCACTGGGAATCTTTAAAGAAGCACTGGCTGAGAAGTTGGATTTTGATCTGTTTTAATTTCTCATTCTGCAACCGAACAGAAATGAGCCCACATACTCAATTCTGTGTGATTAGTGAAGCCTTAGTACGTGTGTTTAACATTTTTGATTTTTTCAGAATGCTTTCACACACATAATTTAATCTATCACCATCCCTATAAAATAAAGCAAGTGTTATTGAGGCTGCTTATATGAAGAAGAATCAGATATTTCAACAGATTAGTTCAATTGCCCGAGATGTAATAGTGCCACAACTAGGACCAAGTCTACTAATCCCAATCCTTTCATTTAAACTACAGAACTTCTTGAAGTTTTCAAGCATTTCCTCCATCAACTCACAGATACTTCTACATTTAGCAAATGACAGGCACTGCTGTAGGCCAGTGACACTGTCTTTTTCTGTTAGCATGACCATTTAGAGTTAACTAAACAGGTCTCCAAGATACTGCATGAGATGTCTTGAGAGCTCTCATAGAAGATTATGAATTATCAATTAGAAACTAAATCTTTGAACCTATCCTAAATAACTAATAAAGATGTAAGGAGTCAGCAACTGGCTACAGTTGTTATCTCTTATGCTTGTCAGGTAGAAGGGTAACAACCAAAGTATAATATCTGGAATTATATATATTGTATCTTTTTTAAATGTTTCAGCATTTTCCAGGTAAAAGGTTGCTATAGTCCAGTGAACCTTTCTATTAAATAGGTATTACTTAGCTTCCTGCCAGGTTTAACTACTTAGCTGTGGTTATTACTTCATGTACAGTACACGATCTCTAAGATTGATGAAAAGGGGTATGGCTGTAGCAGAGTTGAGCTTGAGTTGCAGAAAGGTTGAGGGTCCAGAAAAATATGTACTTCACTTGAACTTAAATACTTTTAATGTTTACTTTTTAAAATAAAACATTAAGGCTTTTATTAAACTTCAAGGCCCTTAAAAATCTCTTCACAAATGTGTATCACTAGATAGTTATATAATCCACCAGGCCCAATTTAGTAATGAAAATATTGAGTTTAAGTATCCATGGATGAAATTTCAAATCCTGAGATGACTTGGGGGTCATACATTTTCATAAAAGTTATAAATTATATTTGAACAATTCTAAGATGCCACTCTTTTCACATTAACATATCCAAAATTAGATATCTTTTTCCGACAATAGAATGCTATAGTTGAATTGGTAGCATTTTGTTTTGTTTTTTCCTTAATGATGAATAAACTAATAGATCTTCCTTTTTGCATCAGTAAAAAGCTCCCCTGCCCCGAAAGCCCAAACCAAGGTATTTACAAGTTAACACTGCTTTGTATTTAGAACAGAATCTTACTTGCTGATTTTCTTTTTTTTTTTTAATTGAGTTTATTGGTACAATTTATGTACATAGTACAGTTACATTAATTATTGGAATCTTGTACCTTTACATGACAGGTCTTGGTTCTCATTTTTTCCCCTTGTCCCTGTCTTGCTGATTCTCTTTGTACAAATCTTAGAAGGAAGATGAGTTAGCAATAGGATTTAAAAAAAAAATAGGAGGGGCTTATCCCTCAATAGGCATTTTTCTCATAGTGGAACTCTGTACATTGAGTGTGGGCTTCTCTCCTAGGTGGGAACTGAGGATTGAACCTAAAACTACTGAATCCAGTGGCTGAACATGTGGAACTGTGAAGGCATTAAGGAGTAAAGGGATGACTCAATGGGCTGCCCATGGCGGCAGCAACAAATTCGTCATCTATACTGCAGCCAGGATTTATTTTTCCTTTCACTTGTGTAGCAAACCAGGCTTCCATTTTAATATTAGAAGGTAAGTTCAGTTGATGGACACTTTGTGTAATAAAAAGCTCTTTTAAAGTACGTGCAGAAGCACACACACAGGATAAACAGTGGCACCAACCAGTGCCCATGGCTTTCATGGAGTACATTTGTGAAGCCCAGAGCTTAGTCCTGGATATGTTTATAGCACTTTAGCTCTGTGTGTGAGTTTGGAACCCTTCCAAAAAAAGAAGAGAAAGACATATATTATTGTTTATAATCTGCTTTATTCCTCCAAACCTCGAGTGAACAGACTTGTGGATTGCTGTTTAAATCCCTCAGTGCCTTTAACTACCGATACAGAAAGTGGTTAATGCGCATTCTAAATGAAGCTTGGCATCCACTCCAGGAAATCACTTTAATTGAGAAGCATTAAATGTTAAAATGATTTTTAAAAAAAAGACGAGCATACATATTGAGTATAAGAGTCCTGGCCACCAGTAATATAGTTCCTTGGTTATCGTATGCCTACAGCCTGATGAGCTTTAAGCCCTGCAGTTGACAGGTGTCGAAAAAGTGACTTTAATTCCCTAGGCCACTATCTGCAGGAAGCCACCCATGAGCCAGCCAGTGAGCAGGCAACCTTCAAGGACTCCACTTCAGAGGAGGGGAGTAAGCTGTCAGCTTTATGGATGTTTGTTTCTCTGCAATAATAAACTAGTCCCAGGTGACTGAAATATGAGATTTAACCCCAAAGTCCTTGCCTAGGCTTTCTATTGCTATAAAGAAGCCATCTGTTGAAACCTATTTACTATTTTAATGGCCTTTTCAAAAAAAACTTTGTTTCGAACTCATGTGTGCCAAGACTACTTTTTGGGGTCTATATTTTATCTTTCATAAAGCAGTACCCAGCCTTTCCCAAATCCCCAAACACCTCCCAACCCAAAGAAGATCCTGATCCAGGCTTGGCAAGCAAGAGGAATCCAATAAATCTTTTCTTAAAAAGCCCCTAGGGACAGCCCAGCCTCTATCAGCCTTGTAAACTGTGACCAGTTCAGTGGTCCACTGAGCAATCCAGGGTGTAAGTCATTTATGTGCAGACCGTTTTCTCCTCGGAGCCCCTCCCATGGTCCATTTTGAGAAGGAAAAATATGCATCATGTCAGGTACAGCCTGTAATTTGATTTAATTATAAAATAAACTAGTTTGTATATAGTATCTAAATTTGATTTTTGTGTTCTGGGAAAGGACCAAAGTTTAAAAAAAAAATCACCAAAAGGAAAATCCTGAAATCACACTGGCAAAAAAAAGAGGAAAAGAAATTAATGAAAAGGTCATAAAGAATAAATATTACATGCAAAAGCCCATGTCTGCTTTCTCTAAAAGGATATGATACACTCTTCCAAGGGCAGAAGCTGATTACTTAAAAGACCTTTATTTAATAACTTGGATTGTTTATTTTTATAATTCCCTTTAGAAGGATGATCATTGTCCTACTAACTTGGCACCATTTTATAAACATGGTTTTCCCTCTTCCCAACTCCACCGTGTTTCTCCAACAGCAGTGACAAACACTGAATACCTCCCTGCAATAGCCACAATCCAGATAATTATCCAAGCTGAGTTTGATCCCTGTTCCCTATGTTAGCCAGGCAAAGTGACTTTATGAAGAAAGGCACCAGGAATTCTGAATGATAACATTTAAATAACATTTTTAAGGGAGTGTGGCAAAGGACTAAACAATTTTCCTCTATCCTGTGAAAGATAATTTTTAGATTATATCTGAAGAATTAGATCTAAGGAAGTACATTCAGATATGTTGAATCTTATCTCAATGATTTTACTTCTAGCTTAGCAATTGGTTCAGATACGCAGTGTTACCGTTGATCTCTTCCTAGCCTATGTGATTTTAGCTGCATGAATACTGGGCGTAGAGAAAGAATGGAAACATTATTGAGCTTACATTTATGTCCCTGAATAGATCTTATTTAATGCTTTCTGGCCAGTTCATTTCCTTATTCTCCTTTAAGCAGTTCTGGAAAGTCTATGTCAGAAAGAAAATTTGTTCAGGAGCTGCTGTCCACTGATCAAACCAAAAAAGAAGACGGTGAAGGAAGGAGGGAGGAAGAGAGGAAGAAAGGGAGTAGGAATGCCAGAAACAAAATGACACATGTTGGCACTGTCACTGTCTGAGGAGGTTTAGAATTTTTCATTCCAGGTATGCAAGGATAACTAACAGCTGTGATGTGTTTTCCCTGCCCATCCTCCCTAGCCAGACTGTAGGCACTGTCCAGCTCTCTGCAGTGATAGAAGTGTTTATTATCTGTGTTGTCCAAATACCACAGCCACTCGTCACAGATAGCTATTGAGCACTTAAAACATAGCTAAGCTAGTGTGTTACTAAACTTTTAGCTTTATTTAATGTTAATAGTTGTAAATGTAAATAGCCACATGTGCCTTATAGCTCCTATATTGTACAATGGAGCTGTGTTTGGATCTTCAGCCACGCAAAGGTAATCACTAATAGGAAAGGTATGCCCTAATTTTTCTACAGCGATATCCCAGTTCTAAACCAATCCTATGGCTTTACTGTTTTTTGTTTGTTTTTTAATAGTTTTAAGAGCTCAGTATAGCTGGGTAGAGCACTTGCTAGCATACACAAGGCACTGGGTTCAATTCCCAGTACCCCAAGACAAAAAAGTGTTGTTCTTTCATTCCAGCTAAATTTCAGGGCCTACACACCATCTCTGCAGGGAAAAAAGCTTATACAGAAATTTTCCTAGAAAATTATTGCCCAGGAATCCAGATGAGGTATTTTTATCCTCTTGTCCCTCCTCACCCAAATAAATATTTGCCTATCATTTCTCTAGGGAGAAAATTATAAGTGTGAAAGAATTTGAAATGTGACAGGACAAAATAAATTACGTGATCAAGGGATTTTTTTTTTCTGCCCATTCTCTTAAATCTAAGGACATATGATTGTGCCCCCAGGAAATTGCTATTAGCAAAACTAGAGAGTCTCCTCCACTCAATCCTTATTAAGTAATTCTGGTATTTCATGACTCTAAGGAGTTCTGGCAATCGGTATTACATTTTTGGTTTCCTTCTGATGATGATGAAAGGATCCCACTGTCGGCTCAGCTTTCTCTTCTGTGTTGAGAGAAAATGTCCAGAAAACCAAACGAAAAACAAGACACAGCAGCTTCTAAAGAATTTCCATATTTATTTTACACAGTTTTACCATACACATCTCATGCCAACACACAGGAGGCATAAACAAACGCACCGACTTCTGCTCTCCAAGTCACATGGCAATAAATAAGAGTAAGTCTTTTTTTGTTGTTATTTTTTCTTTTTTTTTTTTCCAGGAAACAGGACTTTTCTTTATTTTTAACTGTACAAAATTTACACTGGGAAGAATGAGGGCAACAATCCAGAGCAAAGGGGATCTGGGACTTTGAGGTCTGAATGCAAACTCAGAGCAGCTTCCGGGATTCTGCAGCCCTAAACGTGCTCATTAAGCTGAACACAGTCCTCAAGCGGGAAAGTACAATGTCGTCCTTATCTCTAGGTGGGCAACAGGTGAGGGTGAGAGTGGGCGTGTCCTTGCCTTGTCCACCTGTGCTCTGCCTCTAAGCAAAGAAATGCTTGGCGCACCTCCCAAACCCGCAGCCGTCTCCGCACCAGAGCTAGCAGCATGAAACTGTGCTTTTAGTGTGGTCCTACCAAGCAGAGTGTGGATGGGATGACTTTGCTGAGCTCTCTCTTTTTGGCTCCAATCACTGTGTTAGTGCAGTTGGAGCAACTACTGCAAAAAGGGCCAATTGACCAATCCAAGAAAGAGAGAGCCAGTGATGTGCTTTTATTTAGCTTTCAGTATGCCCAGAGCCCGTCAGCAGCAGGTAATAAAACAAAACTCATTTCCTCTTAATTGAATTTTTCTTCATCTCAGTTTCCAATTTTTAAAGTGCAATGTTTAAAAATGAGCTTCCTCAGGCCTTCCAGACCCTGCTGGCCGAGGAGGTATGGTCATTATTTCCATGGTTATAACCAAGGTGTCAGTTGTAGCATGTGGGAGGAGCTGTGTGGGGTTTAGGTGTCATGGTGGACTGTCACAAAACACAGCATTTGAGAATCAGAAGCCTTGAACACCTCCTGAAAAAAGGCAGTTCTTGAGGGGTTTTGTTTATTTGTTTCCAAGGCTGGGACTTGAACCCAGGGGTTTGTACATGCTAGGCAAACTTGTACTGAGATAAATTCTCAAGCTCTTCTTTAATTTTTTATTTTGCAGGATCTTGTTAAGTTGCCCGGGCTGGCCTCAAACTTGTGATCCTTCAGCCTTAGCCTTATGAACAGCTGGGATTATAATATGCCTGGCTTCTACAGATTTTTATGTACTTCCTGGCAAAGTGAACTTAAGAATGAAGATCTAACAGCCTCCAATTGTATCACTAGATACAAATTTTAAATGTTTTAAAATGCCACCAAAAAAACTTTAAGGACTCTGCCAGATGCTTTGCTTAGGTCGTAATTTCCCTGTTGTTTCACTATATTAATTTGCAGGACCAAGTTATCAGTATGGTAGCTGATATTCATCTCACATTTGTTCATAACAGATGAAGCAAGACAGAAAAAGAACAAAAACTGAAAGGAATTTGCCTGAGGTTGCTCACAGATCCTTGAAGGGGCAACAAAAACCAGTTTCCAACAACATGATTTAACCATTGGGCTGGTTAACCCTTGTTTGAGTATTTTTTTTTCCATAGTTTTACTACTTTGGGGCAAATATAGAGTTCTCCACTGAGTTAGTCACTCATTTCTCATTTTTACTTATACGAATTACCCCTGGAAATTCAGGGTGAGAGGTAGAGGGGATGCTAATTTGCTTCAGGATTCAGAAGCTTCCTTCTCTAAAGCCTATTGGGCAGGCACTGCAGATAGTAGGTGTTAAACGGTCTCTTTGAGTCAAAGATAGGCCAAAATATTGTAAATGGCTCTAAAAGGTCTTTTTTCATTTTTTAAATGTGTGCATGTGATTTAGCAAGGGGAAGACAACTACTGGGTAGTTACCTGGAGTGTCTCTAAGAGAATCTAAAAACAAAATAATCCTCTCTATCTCCAAACCACAATGAGGGAGCAGTCTTGGTGTGCGGTGTTCATCAGTGGCACCAGCCCATCCACCGTGCAAACTCAATTTGCAGAACAGTCACTTGGAATCTAAGACCTGTCATGGCTGTGCTTCTGATGGGGCACCAGTGCTTGCTGTGCTCTAGGGAGGTGCCTCTGGGGAAGGAATGTAATGCTCTCCTGGCCTTCTGGTCAGTGGTCTCTCAATATCTTTTCCAGCTAGTCAGCCCAAGTGAAACCAAACACTACTGCTAATTTCACTGTGCTGCCTAACGAGTTCCTCAGGAGACTTATTACTGTGAATGAGGACAGCCTCCCATTCTTCTGTGACTGAATCAGGAGTATGATAAACTCATAAAAATAAAAACTGGTCAGCTGAAATTAATAACAGCTTCAACAGTGCTACACACGTCAAAAATGAGGTACTTCCAAACCTGTGGTACTGAGCCAAATAGTCAAGGTAACAGTTACCTGGCTGACATAGCTTTTCAGCTGGATTGTCCAACACAGGTTTTTGCCTCTGTATTATGAGCAGCCTGCTGAGAACAGTGTGTTTAAAGAAGATGGCTTCCAGACAGTTGCAACTTCCTGTCCTTCACATGGCTTGTTGTCTTGTGTCTCCATCCCCACAGAGCATTCACGTTGGGGAATTTCAGTAGCACAGAATTAGATAGACTTAACACACCACCACCCATAAATATGGAACTTCAAAAAAGTCTGTGTTGCAGATGCCCCAGGCAAAGATCAGGGCAGTTGCAGCCCACCCAAAAACAAGGATACAGTACAAAACTGATCAGAGAAAAGGAGCCTGAAGGCTAATCCAGGAAGTTACTGACTGTATCCTTTAAAGAAGCTTAATTGAACTAAATGCAGTCTTGAAGAGGAGCTTACAAATGATACAACAGCTAGAGACTGTCATATTTCTGCCCACCACATGCCTGAATCTTTGCAGTCCTCCAAATGTGATCAACCATTCACAGAAGGGTCTCCAGGGCTTTTGGTCTCGTCATGTGAAAGAAAGGCAGTGCCTTCTTGCCTTTTCCTATCCCACTGATCATAAGAGATTGTGGGGCCAGAAGAAGCAAACCACTCTTTCCCAAGGGGTAGGAATAAATTCCAACTGACTAAATTCCTCGCTGCAAAATGGAGATTTGGAATTCCCAGAAGGGCATCCTGATAGCACAGAAGTGCAGCCTGTCACAGAGTGGCAGCTCATAGAGCTGCAGGGACTGGCCTTGCCTTGCAGGCTTAGTGACATGAAGGGAGTCCCTTGCACTGCCAGTAGCCAGAGAACTCTGGCTTTTTGAGTGTAGGCCTGGAGCCCAGGGCATGGCACAAGTCCAGCAAGCAACCCAAAGAGATGCAGCTCCAGGACTTAGAACCCTTTTGACAATTTTAAGGCTGCTCCCTAAATTATGCCTCAACCAAACCAGGCCAAAAAATATTGCTGGTTCCTGGAAGTGACCAAGATCGTCCTCCACCTGAGTCAGCTTGTACAGCAGAGGGCACTTTTGCTTTTAAGAGGGAGGAGGAGTACACTGAAAAGCTCATCTAAACCAACTTCCTCATAGCAGACTCCAGATTTTATTTTACAAGGGATGGGGATCTCTGGGATACCGGCATCTGCCAAGGAGGCTAAACAGACTGCATGCTTGGAATCCAAATGTGTCTCAAATGTTTTCACTGATTGTCATTCTGTTCTCTCCATAGTCTAGCTTTGATCATTTTGTAGCCCACATCCTATCTGGGGGAGTAAATGATACAAATAAATTAAAAAGGCACACTATGCACCAGCGGGACTCATCAGCCAGTTTGTGAAGGTCTAGAGCCACCCAAGCTGTAGCCTCAGGAGTCACCTGCAATGAAAACCACTTCTTGCCATTAGGGGTTCAGTGATATAGGTGGGATTCCTTAAAAAGCCAAAACTGATAAGTTTTCTCTGGTTTGTCCAAGTAAGAAAGAAGTCGTATTTTCACAGCAACAAACAAAAAGGGAGGGGCATATTTTTTAGTATCAAACTGTGGCTATCAACATTTTCACCAACATTTTATAACCGATTTTTAAATTTTGAAAATCAGGGTTTAATCAGAGTGGTCCAGAAATCATTTTATTATACTCAAGGGGCTGTGATGCTGCTACCTCAGGAATCTTGGTTCTGGTGACAGCAGTAATTTTGGGAGGCACTGTGTGAGACACAGCAGTTGGAGTAGTGTTCCCAAGGCCAAGTAACCTGTCACAGTCGCCTAGTGCCACCAAAACACTAAGCCAAAGCCTTTAAACAAGGGCAGGAGGGGAGAGAGCCAACAAGTCAGCATACCTACAGCTCTAGGCTGTCCACCCCTGTGCTGTGTGTGAGGTGAGGCTGCTCCCCCAGCCCCTCCCAAGAAGGCAAGGCCCTAATGTGGTCTCACAGCCTTCTAGAAACCAGCAGAGGACTTCCATTGAAAATAATGGAAATTCACATTGGCGCATCTTTGATCCTTAAGAGGCAAGTCTCTTTTGATCCTTGAAGATACTCTCTCAAGCCAGGATGGGGAGGATGGGGAGGAGAGAAGTTTAAAAAGGAGGATGATCCATTTCATCAAGCCAAGAGGCTGGGCTAGTTGGAAAGTCGGGATAGCCTACACTGCTTCCTGTGGAGATGTCAGAGGTGGGTCCCCCAGCCATGGCTCTTAGTGTCTGGTTTACTCCCTGCCCTGCATGCGCAATGATGCCCAGATTACTGTCCACCGTGTAATCCAGCCCATTCAGCAAAGGAGCGTGGGATGGCAGGGATGATATAGAGGATGGAGACTGGGGGATTCCATAGGGGCTCCCATCCCTCAAGTCCTGATAGGATTGTCCTGTCCCATCCATGGAGAAGCTCCCATTCATTAACTGGCCGCCTGTAATGTCCCCCACGTTGCCATAAATCCTATTGGTGTGGCCAAGTTCTGAGAGAATTTGATCCTCTGTGGACAAAAGAACGGAGATTTATTGTGAGCTGCCAGGAGTGTAGTGATCCCTGCTCTTCACAACCTAGGAATACACATGCCCAGGGAAGGTGCCCAAGAGCATCAGCTGCCTATCAAACACCAATATGTCAGCCTGATACCAAGAGACCAACCTGAGTCAAGGAGAAACACAGAAGAAACACCCGCAAAGACCAAAGTCCCAGGTCCCAGAAAGCTGGAAAAAATGTTGGTGAGCTTTGTGGTCTTGTGTGGCTCATGTACCAAGATACTTAGGCTACACTGAGGAGTACAGATGCTCAAGGTTTGGTGGGTTGTGTTATCCACGTCACAAATGGAAGCTACTTGCTGTCACGATTTACTCTGAGGGTTGGGGATGTAGCTCAGCAGTGCAGCTCCTGCCCAGCAAGCATAAGGCCCTGGGTTTGATTCCCGGTACCAAAAAAGAAAAATGGGAAAAAAAAAAAATTTTACTCTGAAAGCTTTCAGGCTGAGAAATGTGCTTGTTTGGGAATCAGGTAACTTGTATAGTGAGGACCACTCTTAGGCATGTGTACAGAATCCTTCTGGTCTACCTGCAAAAAAAGGTTCAATAACAAAGGGTTTGGTTTCCCTACTAAGCTCTTACTCAGGGCAAAGAATGACTTGGTTGAGGCAAATAAACCCTCTTGTTTCTTGAAGAATTTCATTAAGGGACTCTAATAGGAGCTTTGCCACATGAAAGAATTCATCTCTCCAACAGAGTTGAGCAGTTTCAGTTTTAAGAAATAAAGGGTTGTTTATTGTTTAGAAAACCACTGATATGTTAATGTGGGACCCACCTGTGCCCAATAGAAATGAGCTACAAAACAAGATTTAACAATTCTAAATATTCCAGGTATGCATTTAGACAGCTCAGATGAGATTAAATGTCTTTCCCAATCCTGCTGAGAGGCCTAGAGAGTGAGTGTAAGGCTCCTGGCCCCTCCTTGGGGCCCCAAGCCCTCTGTTCTGAGGAGACTGATCTTTGGATTCCAGGGATTTCTGGGCTAAGCTCAACCCTCTCAGGGCATCATACTCCTGGTAGGCAACTGGTTCTAGCCTGTGACCCACTGGCTACTTTTTCTGTTTTTGTCATGGCCCATGCACCAATCCCTATATCAATTTTCCCATCCTATATCAAACACCCATCCTTCCGAGCCCCCATTCCACTCAAAAACTGAAAAGACAGTGGGGAGCTCATGCCCTTTCTAGGAATCAGGAAGATGAGGCCTCAGCTGCACTGTAACCAAGGCCCTCTGTGGAGCCACGGGCCACAGTCTTCCAGGTGTCCACATGTGCTTAGCTTTCCAAGCACATCCACAGCTGGTTGTGTTCACTGATCCCTACGACAACTCTGTGAGATGGGCAAGGCCATTTATAGATGGGAGGCCCATGAGAAACCAATCATTTGACAGAACCACACTGGAAACTAGGTTTCTGATCAGTTCAGTACTCTTCCCTTCCCCCACCAAAATACCTCCCACAGTTGAAGACTCAGTAACTGAAAACAGTCCTGGTTATTTGCAAACAATCTGCAGATCCACAAGATGTAGTAATTTGCAGTGTTGCTGATGCACACAGAGTTGAATAGAGTGCATGCTGCGAAGCTTGTGTGCAAGGGACAGTATGGAGTGAGGGGTGGGTGAAGGGATCTCAGAAACAGCCAGTTCTCCATCTCAAGTGCACTCACAGTATTGCTTTCCCAGGACTGGGAGACCAATAGGTCATTCTAGAGGATCAGGGGAGGAAACCAATGTCCTATAAAGGGGAGAAGTACAGGAACGGGGCTGGGGAAAAGGCCTGTGTTCACAGCTGCATGGGCTGGTGAGAGCACTCTCTTGGCAAAAAAAGAAGGGAAGCCTCAGGGCCACAGGACAGCTATGTCCCAGGGAACCCAGCTTTCATATCTAAGCAGCAGCGCTCTCCTTTGCTACTCCTGGTCGCACCAAAAAGACCACTAACACCGGCTACTCCTCCACCGCCCACCCTCCTCCACTGCAAGTCTTGGGGAAACACCTCTGCTCAGGGAGGGAACTGACAAGGCCTCAAGAAAGATAGCTCCTGCCTGCCAAGGATTACTGTTCCCCAGGGGACTTTCCTCCAGCCTCAGCCTCACCCCTCCAGCCCAGCTCACCTCGGAAGCTCAGCTCACTGTCACTAACCCCACAGTCCTCTGCAGAGCTCTCCTTCTCCTGCTTGCTGCCTCCCCGGCTCCTCTTGACGCTCTTATAGAACTGCCCCCAGCGATGCCGCCCTGCGTCCTTCTTCAGGCGTTTCTCCTTGGCCCTTCTGTTCTGAAACCAAACCTGCCACAAAGCACAAGAGACATACTCAAGGGGAGTCTACCACAGCCAGAATCCTCCACGGCTCCCAAGGCAGGTGGCTGGAAATGGACTGGAGCCTGGGCAGCAGAACCCTGCCTCTGGATTCTGGCAAATGCTCTGGGGGGTCAGTGACACCATTCACCAGGTGACTGTCACTCGTGTTCCCCAAGCCTTCCTAAGTTAGCATAAACAGAGTCCTGCTCTGAACACCATCTCTTCCTGCTAGAAGCCCAACTCCCCAGAGGACAAAGAAGTACTAGCATCTCACCTGTACAACCCTCATGTCCAGGCCTGTCTCAGAGGAGAGCTGCTCCCTTACATGCCGGGCGGGCTTGGGGGAGTTCTTGTAGGCGTTCTTTAATGTCTCCAGCTGCTTCGCTGTGATGGTGGTCCGTGGCCGCTTTGCTCCTGCCTCAGAGTCATCTGCAGTGAAAACCACCTTCCTGGGATCAGCCCATCTGAAACAGCTGGGACTCTGCCCATCCTCCTTCCTCCCCTGCTAAGAGCACCTGCACTGGGCAGGGCCTTAGAGGAACGACCCCCCACCCCATGGGGTCCCCACTGCTGCCGTACAGCCTTCGTAGAAGCCCACTGTCCCTGTTTCCCTCATCTCCAGCCCAGTCCCTCTGAGGCCTTTCATCAGCCTGAATGTGAAATTCCACACATTTCCTGTTATGGCAAACATTCCGCTTGGACATCCTCAGGGTCGTCACCAGAGCTCTAAAGGTCAACTGGCCAAAGCAAAGTAAGCACATATTGTATACCAGGGCAAACTGCAAGCTTTGCATGCATTTAATTCTGACAATTCTTGGAGTCAAAAGACCTGGGTTCCACCTTCCTGATGAGTGAGTGACCAGGCGAGCAATCTTGCCCCTCTGAATCCTGGGGGCCACACCGCCTGCCCTGCAGGGGCATTGTGTTCTAGGGACTGCACCGTTGTGCTGCTTGGGCCACACTACACTCGTGCACACAGCACAGGATGGAGGCCCCATGTCCTCTCTTCGTACCCTGCTTTCCTCAGCAGAGCCACTGTCATCCGGACTGTTCACAACCCACTCCCTCCCTAGAGTCTCCTGGGTAGGGGCATCCAGAGCCTTTCAGCAATTTCGTACAGAGTAATGCCAAGACAGACAGACCTCCAAAGTTCTTTAAGTTCTGTTAGGAGGAGTTAGTGCCTTCTGCCCATATTTATACAGTTTATAGTATGACACGGATGTAAATTTGAAATAGTATGTTTTTAATATGTATACAGTCTTTTGTTTGTTTTTTTTAATTGAGTTTATTGGTACATTTTAGGTATACAGTACAGTTACATTCATTACTGGGATCTTGTACCTTTACATGACAGGTCTTGGTTCTCATTTTTTCCCCTTGTCCCTGCGCTCCCTTCACCCCCTCCTCGCCTCCCCATTTACAAACACTTTATTTCCATTTTTCATTTTCTCACATTTTTTTTTCTTTTCCCTTATTACCTTTCCCCTACCCTTCCCACTTTCCCTACACCTTTAGCCCTTTTCTTTCTATTTCACATTGTCAATTATACTATTAGGATCTTATGTACTATTATAGTTTTTCACACCAGAGAAACTATTCAGAATTTACACATGTGTGACTTATTTATTTCACTTAGGGGTATTATATACAGTCTTTATGTATAAAATTTTAAAAAATAAAACTATCATGTCAGGCATGGTGGTGCATGCCTCTAGTCCTAGCACTCCGAAAGGATGAGGCAGGAGGATCACAAGTTTGAGCCCAGACTGGGCAACTCTGCCACAGTTGCTAATCAAATAAAAAAGAAAGAAAGAAAGAAAAAATGGCTGGGGAGACAGCTCAGTGTGAAGGCCTTGGGTTCACTTCCTAGTATAGCAAAAAAATACAAAACAAAATAAAAAAAACTACCAAAAATGTGAGCCAGCCTCAAAAGCGCAAGGGCCCAAGTTCGATCCCCAGTACCAAAAAAATAAATAAATAAATATTTTAAAATGTGAGCCAGGTATAATATTTCACACCTGCAATCCCAACTATTCAGGAGACTGAGGCAAAAGGATTAGTTGAGCTGACGAATTTGAGACCAGCTTATGCAATAGAGCAAGACTCTATTTCAAAAAATAAAAGTTTTAATTGACCGAGAACCACTTCAATTCAAAACAGGTTTTCCCAGCACATTAGAAATTATTTTCGCCATGGCCAGATGACAACGCTCCTGAGGAATATCTGTCACTCTAGTTGGTGGCCTGTAGGTGCCACGCCACTGCTCGGGCACAAGACTTCCTTCTTGTGATTATGGAAACTATTATGCTGTTATTTTAACATTCACTGTTATTATAATTTAAGATCTTTTTTATATCCTATAACAATGTCATCCAAGTATTCATTAAGTAGCGGTGGCAGTGCTTGTGCTGAAAAATGTACCCAAAAATCAATAACTTTGGTGCGGAAGTTAAATGTGATAAAACACTATAAGGAAGGGCAAGCAAGACCATGATACCTTGGGCTGTTAATTTAGGAAAGAGCATTCAGCAAGGTACTAGAGATAATGCTGAGAAAATAAAAAGTAGCATTAAGGCAAAGATGCACTTCACCACTTATGGATTTGTGTGCTAGCAGTATACATCCCCCTCTACTTTTTTACGTTAATTCCTATGGGAAAATTACTCCTAACACACATTAGTTTTGAATTATGCAAGGTCTCCTAGAACTTGTCCCTGGCATAAAATGCAGCCTCATTATACTGAAAATGCAGATAGCCAAGAAGATGGAAGAAATGAACAAAATCATTCACACTAAGTGGCGAACTAGATCTTTTGTTGAGCTCAAGGGAGAAAGCTATAAGCCTGAAAGAAGGTTTAAGATAGCAAGGAGAAATTAAAACAAGTTAAAAAACAGTCAAGCAGCCTACAAAGATAAAGGCTCCCTGCACGGAGGGTCACTCTGACCACCACAGGGGAAGTCTAGGGAAAGTGTCAGAGGTGCCTTCAACTGCTTTAGGACACATCACCTCCCTACCTGCCTGTCTCACTCTTATTTAACATCCTACTCATGAGCCTCATGCTACTTAAACCTCAGGAAACATCCCTGTGAGTCCAGTGCTATTATCCCCCATATTTAGTCAAGTAACTAACACTCAGCCAATTGCCCAACTTGCTCTAAGGAGCTCCAAGTTTGTGGGAACATCCATCCAGCTTCTGCTGTCTATTCCAGGGTCTTCCACTGTCCTACAGAGGTCTGCTATTGGGTGAACACTCTTTCAGAAAATTATGAGTCCCACAGTGTCATTAATGCCACCCCAACTAGGTGATGACCAGTCTCCATTTGGGTCTCTCTTGTCTGAATCATCTACAGAACAAGAAGATACTGAGTTGAGAGAACCCAGAGTCTCTGACAGTGACAACCAGCATGGCCCAGGATAGACAGTGACTTGGTGCTCTCTGATGAAGAGCATCAGAGTTCCAAAGGCATCTCACTGTCACTGAGTCCATCTGCATTGATAGTTACCCCTGACAAGTCACCCAGCTCTCTTGTGACATCCTAATGGACTCCAGGGCAACAGCATGGAGTTGTCAGGAGCCAGAGTGGACAAATGCATGGAGGTGAAGAGCCTTAGAATGGATCTGCAGAGGCTGCAGGTCTCTGGAGGAAGGAAACCAGGTCCTCTGCCAACCTGGAAAGGACAGAGCTATGGAGATAGTAGGAGAGGAGGTCTCCAAAAACTGAGGAAGCCCCTGCCACGGACAGCCCTGCCCCTTTATCCCTCTTAGCAAGGCCAAACTTGGCCCAGCTGGATCACCCTACAAATTACCTCTGCCTTGTCCCCGCAGATCCTTTATTTAATGGTGCATTTATTAAGCAAAAAAACTCATTTCCCATGTACTATTTGGATTCACAGTGTGTGAACCCAGGAAAGACGTGGAAGGAGATATATGAAATTGTCAGTGCCTTATTATTTCCGTCAAGCCCACAGCTTTCAACAATGGGTGCTTTCCACAGTAATACCCTGAGTTGGTAAAAATTCTAGTAAAAAGATCTAGATGTTTCATGAGTTCGTGATTCTGAGATTTCTAGCTTTGGTTTGGCCAAATCCCAAATTCCGATCTTCCTCCCAGGGGTGCCTGTGAGTGAGGAGCTGGATGGTGGGGCTGCAGGAGGGACAGCCAGCTCAGCCTCGCTGAGGAGAGCACAGTGGGATATGAACAGACCCTAGCTGCCCAAGAACATGGCATGGACAGCAAGAGCAGCAGCCACCCTGGCTGCCAGCTAAGGCAGGTTTGCAGGTGTGGCCAATAAAGGCTTGCTGGAGCTCCTTGCAGCAGTGTAGGCAAAGGCCCTGAGGCAGAGTAGGGCATGGTGATAAGGTTAAGCAGGGGTCTTCCCCATACACAGCTACATGATTCTCCTCTTCCCTCAGCACACTGATCAGCCACTTGTTCCACATCAGGGCATCGGAAACCTCAGCAGTCAGCACCCCTAAGTCCCTGGCCTTCATAAACCCACAGTCTCGGGGAAGCTCAGAAACACAGTTAGCCCTGGGAGGGTGATGCGGGTCAGTGCCTGAGTCTCACTCACTACAGCTTTTGAGGCATGGAGGTGCTGAGGTAAGTATGCACCCCAATGTGCAAAGCTCAGGAGCAGCCCTGTGTGTTCAATGTGGACCAGGCTCCCAGCTAACTCAGCACTCCCAACCCTAGGCAAGGAGCTGCCAAGATGACAAGAAGGTCCCTGGCTGCCCCAAGCCCACCATCTGGCATGGGAGACAGGCCTACTCTCAGAACCACAGTTTGATTAAAGCTTTAGTGCATCAGCAAATGCTGGTGGGCTGGGCAGGTTTAGAATTAACTGTAACCATGGTGCCCTGGGAAGGCCTCTCAGGCCAGGGGCCGGAATCAGACAGAAGGGTGGGACTGGGAGAGAAGGGCACTGAGAGGGCACGGCCTGGACAAAGGCCTGGAGGGGACCTGCAGGGCTGTTCCGCTTACCATTTTGCTTGGCAGTCTCATAGTCTTCCTTGCACACCAGCCGCCCGTCCTCCATGAGGTAGAATTCATCTCCCGTTGCCAGCTGCCGGCTGCAGATGATGCAGGCAAAGCAGTGCAGGTGGTAGACGAAGTCCTGGGCTTTGCGGACCACCTGGGTCGGGGGGATGCCCTGCTGGCAGGCTGTGCATTTTGTGCCGAAGCGTCTGTCAGGGCAGCAGAGAAAGATTAGGGCGAGGGGTGTGTCTGAGTCGGGGGGCATCGTCTGGCTTCTCCCCCACCTCTTTCAGCCTTTGCCTATCCCAGTGCTCCTTTGCCCATGTGACCCCCACCACTTCATGGGGACAGTGGAAGGGGTTTCTAAGTCCACCCCAGGCAGGCTGTCACCACCCGCCTCTGGGCTTCTTCATCTCCACGGTGACACCTGGAGGACCAGGCTCTTGAGGAAGTGCGTAAAAAGCACCCAGCGGCCCACCTCTTCCCAGAAGGCCCGGCACGGCCAGGCAACAGTATGGGTCTGAATTCACTCCGGTGCTCCAGAGAAAGCACACTTCGTCCACGGAGGAGGGCTGCCCTCCCCACCGTTCACCACACACAAGAGCCCGTGCCCTCCTCTCGCACAGCCCTGGGATGTAGTGATCCAGAGGGGCCCGAGAAGCCACATTTTCAAGCCCCAGAGACACAGCAAGGCAGAATGTATAGATCTCAGTTTAGAAAATGCTGCTTCAGACTTTTCCCTGCTCTGCCTTGTTCTGGACAGACTCCAAGCAAGAGGAAGCCACACAATGCCGCCCTGTACCAGGGCTGGGAGGAAGGACCAACAGACACATTGAGAGGCCCATCGGTGGCGTCCTTGAAGTGCGTTTCCTCTTTCTGGCCATAGAGACACACAGAGCCCTGCCAACTGTCATAGAGGCCAGGGGGAAATTCAGGGTCCAGCAGATTGGAGGGCAGTGGAGGGGAATGCCTGCCACAGGTGAGCCTTCCCGCTCCAGGAAGGTAGCGGGAGGGGCCAGGGAAGCAGGGGCAGAGTTTAAAACAGCAATCAACCTAATTATTCATGACACTTCACACAGCAGAACTTTATCTTCTTCAGGATGAAAGACTTCGCCTAATGGATCTGGGGAAGGTTTGATTTTAATGGTCCTTTTAACTAATGCTTATAGGCAGCCTGATTTCCCCTGAAAGGACAGTACATATTTCATCCACATTAATACCAAATAAATTAATTATGGTCATGGCTATCATGATGAATCCCAGATTAATGCAGAATGATGGGTCTCTTATGCAGTAATGATACCTGCTGAGGGGGCTGCAGGAGCCTGCAACAGGCATAGCTAACTGCAGCCTCAGAAGCAGCCCCTGCCCCTGCAAACTGGGGTCCTGGAGAGAAGTGAGAGGTCTCCCAGAGAGTCAGGAGTGTGGTTGCAGGACCGCTCTTCTGAGACTGGTACAAGAAGGCTACTGAGATAAGAGGGGCTGAGACTGGGCTTGAGAGGCCCCAGGCTTCTGAATTCCTGGAACGCCTTTTAGTTTGGAGGCAGGGGCTCTGATCCAGGCCTCTCAGAGCTGGAGTTCCAGGCCTAAAATTCAGGATGGGCTTTATGACCTACACACACACACACACACACACACACACACAATTGCTCAGAATCCTTCCTCAGAAGGGGTCTGGGCTTTCCTCAGATTTTCAAAGGGATCCAGGAACCAGAAAAGCAAATATGTGTTAAATAATGAAATCAGTGAAAAAGAACTGTGGTCTCAGAGGATATGCACAGAAATGGCTGCATCTGAGCAAGAGGATGGCAAGCTCTGGACTGTTCCGCGCCTCCCAGAACACCGGTGAGAACCAGGCTTCTGCCACACAGCAGTGTATCACTGGTAGTAAAGGGAAAGACGGGCAGGTACCCTACTCCAGTCTCTGAGAATGTGTGTGCCTCTGTGTGTGTGTGTGTGTGTGTGTGTGTGTGTGAGAGAGAGAGAGAGAGAGAGAGAGAGAGAGAGAGAGAGAGAGCACTATCTTAAAAGGTCTCCGGTTCTTATATCCCATCCAAGCCAATCCACAAAGCAGACATTAAGGTGAAACAATGCTTCCACCACATTCAGCCCCTCCCAAGAAATCACCTAAATCCAGAGACTGGGTCCAAATCCTTTCCTGAAGAAACTAGGGCAGAAGTGGCTCCAGAGACGATCCGGACTCTCCCAAAGGCAAAGTCCTACCTTGGTGGTGCACACCATGGAGCAGAGACCCGGGGAGAGACCCCAGCGGCCTCTCCCATCGGAAGGCCACCTCACTCTCACCTCTAAAAAGCAGATGAGGTTTTCAGTAGCCAGAAGCCCAGTTGACATCAGAGCACCAGAGACATGAAAGATAACGGGGGATAAATTTAATCTACAGACCGACAGTGATTCATGCAAAAGGGTGGCAAGTGCACAAGAAAAATGAAAAATAAATGGACTTTCCCACCAGCATTTTTTAGCAATTGAAGCAATTTTCCTGATTGTGGGATTTATACGATGGTAAGTGGAAGTTGCTCCTCATTACCTTTTTTTCCTGGAACCCGGCCAATAGGAAGGACCCTTGCTAGGGGCCTCCTGCAAACCCTCAACCTCCAGGGGCCCCCCTCCACCTCTCACCAGAGGCAGCAGACCCAGAATAAGATGCTGTCCTGGGGTGGGGGGTAGGGTGTGGACTGATGAAGACACTGTCTCCAAGTTTCCAATCTTAGATCAGCCAAATTCACAGATGAGAAAGGCCTGTAGGCTATGCAACTGTCCTGTGCAGGTGATCCCCAGGCCCAAAATGGCATAAAACTGAATCTGGCTGCTACAGAGAGAACCAGTAGTCTAACCATTCTGATCAAATCTGAAGGATGCTGGGCTTGAGGGAAGGGGGGCTGAGAGCTTCCAAGGGAAGCTCCAGGGAGCAGCCCTCCGTGCCATCACCATGCACCACACCTGCTTGTGTGCACCATGCACACCAGCCTTGCTTTGCAGAAACATTCCTGCCAGCTGGCCGTGCCTGACCAGGCTTCTGGGGACAGCCAGTCTCCCAGGGATAGCAGCTGGAGCTGGTCCAAAATGAAAAAGAAAATACAAGGACGGACTTGCAAGAGCTCCCACTAGGCTATTCTCCTTACCAACACTGCTGGAAATTCTCTCATCCTGCCCAGCACATAGTAGGCAAGCAGCAAAGTCCACCAAATGAAAGAATGAATGAGTAAACTGCTACTCCTTAAACCATATGCTTGAGGAGGAGTCAGGGAAGGATCAACATCCTAATGGCAGCTACTGCCAAAAGCTTTTCTAAGAAGGGAGTTGAGCCCCAGGTTAAATCAAGGCCGCAGTTTACAAAATGTGGAACTTTGCATCCCTTTTTGCTGTCATCATCCTGCAAATATCTCCCATGTGGCCAACCTTAAAAGTGAGTGTCACAGGTGAGAAACTGAGGCTTGGAGAAGATAAGGTGATTTTTTTTTTTTTTTTGGTACCAGAGATTGAACTTGGGACCTTGCAGCGGCACCACTGAGCTTAATTCCCAGCCTTAAAATGCTTTTTTTTTTTTTTTTTGGTACCAGAGATTGAACTTGGGACCTTGCAGCGGCACCACTGAGCTTAATTCCCAGCCTTAAAATGCTTTTTTTTTTTTTTAACCCAAGGCCTTCACACTGTGTTACATCCCCAGTGTGCTCTCCTCTTTTTTTTGAGACAGGGTCTCAGTTGCTAAGTGGGCTCAAACTTGTGGCTTTCCTGCCTCACTATCCTGGTACAAAGGTGAGGGGACAGGAAGTGCAAAGGCATCACAGTCAGCTCTCAGGGCCCACCTGAGGAAGGGCCAAGCCTTCTGTCCCTGTCCTACCCTCTGCTCCAGTGCTTGGCCTGAGCTCCTCTCTCATTGATCTGTTCACCCTTGCTGCTCTTGACAGACTGGCCCAGGCCATTAACCAGTGCAGGGACAAACACGAGGGCGACTGAGCTGCAGGCACAGAGACTTCTAGAACCAAGGGCACATAAATCCTACAGCACAATGCCTGATTTTAAGTGCTGTCCAATGATCATGTTGTGGTCTCTGCAGTCACCAAGCTCCCATTCACCAAGTGCCTGCTGTGTCCCACAATGGGCCCTGTGCTCACACGATCCCACTGTGTCCTCACATCAGGTCCTCGGCCCAGCCCCACCGCACTCCCATGGCCGTCACTGCCACCCCAGCAGCACCCCATCCGATCCGTGGTGACTCCAGCTCCTGGCTCACCATCACTCCTGCCATAACCCTGGGTGACCTCAATACCACACACACTGTCCTCCCTACTGCCCTCTCGATCCTTTGACCACTTCCCCTGAAGGACACAGCCCCTGCTCTTCAGCCACTTGCTCCGATGGGATTCCCAAGACCTTGCTGTCCCCCGTAATTGCCACACCTCCACAAGATCTTCCCGTCATCCTGTGGGTCACCACTTGCTGTCTAGGAAGTACCGCCAGTGTGTCCTCCAGCGCCCCGACTCCAATCCTCAGGGACTACACCTCCCACTGTGCCTGCCCCCAACCTTCACTCCCCTGGTGACCTCGCTCCCCTCCTCACCTAGCAAAGACTCCATGATCCATTGATCCTTTCCTTGCAGCCCCTCGACTCTCCAACCCTGTCTCAACCTGCCGCCTCCTCTGCCCCTTCAGTGGATGTCCAAACAGACCTGAGAAATACCACCTTGCTGGCCAGGCTCCCTCTACTGTTTGCGTACCTCAAGAGGGCCCTGGAAATCACATCCAACTCCCTCGGTTGGTTCCCTTCCACCTCACAGACCCTGCTCTCCAGCCTTCATCCTCATTCTCAGCGGTAGCCCTCCTATCCCCCAGAGAAATGGGCAGCTCTGGGCTAAGACCTGCCGTCCGCTCCCACTGTCCTGCCTACAGCCTGTCTTAGTAACTGTGGGCCTGACTCCCTGGCCAGCCCTGCTCAGGACCCTCGTGAGCCTGGCACTGGACACCTGGTAACGCCCCTCCAGCAGCTGCCCCTTTGCCTTCCACATTACTTGTTTCCCCCCTATTAGATCCTTGCCATCTGCACACACGCATCTATCATTTCTGCACACTTAACACCAAAACTCCCTTCACCCCACCTCCTCCATCTACCACCCATTTCACTCCTGCCTTTAAAACAAAGCTCCTCAGAAATTCCCAAAAGGAGGTTGCCAATGGCCCTGTACTCAGG